ACAAAACTGGCGTAATCCTCCTTCAAGCGTTTTTTCGAAAACTAATTCAGCTTCATTCTTAGTTTCTCAGGTGCTTTTTCATCCGAGGCATTCGGGATTCCTTAGCAAACAGCTTCAACTGGTTGTAGCGAATCTAACGCGTTTCGTGGTTCGATCCGTCCTCTTCTACACTTTTGCTTCATTCTCATGCATAAATTGCTTTTGAAATTTGTCTATGACTAGTGCGCTGGACAAGTGGCATGGCTCCTCAAAATTTGTTTTTGGTGCGGTCAGTAAAGTAAGTACTCATGTATCGGTGCTCGCTTTAACAGGTGTGATAAGTGGCGCCTATACAAGACTTAAATTGCACATTGTGAGATCTAACTGAAGATAAGCAAAATCTCGCCAAATGGATCATGCGATTCGTAAAGTGATCATCAATTAGTGTTTCTTTCTGATAAAAAAAGCTGCCAGCTTTTTCAGTTACAGAACAGTGAATGGGACTTTAACTAGTGTTAAACAGTTTTGGCATGCTAGCCTCAACAGTATCAGTTTACTATCGTAGAAACATCGCTTTGCCTGTGACAAGATTGTGAAAGACGTCACTTAAAATTACAGTAAGCCAGTTAATTTCCACTATACTTGTTTTTATTTTGGATTATAACTGGGGCCAAAGCGGGTAAGAATTTTTTTCTCATTAATGGATCTACAGTTACAACTTCATAACGTGAATTTAATTAAATTAATTAATCGTACGGAACAGCCAATTCCTCTACGATTCATTCATTTGCTTCGATGGTAAAATTGGTACTGGCACTGTAGTCAAACCCGCCCTTCTCCAGATGTCTTTGCTTGTAAGCAACCCTCGAAAGAGAGAGCCATCGACAGTGTTGCCAGTGAGTGGTTGTTGTTGGCATTTGCTACCACTCAGTCCACTTTCCAAATGGCTCCGCCTCCCACTGAGAGTGAATACTGAGAAGGACATTAACTTTTTAGAGTTTTTGAATTAAGCGTCTGTAGCTGAGAAAATATGCTGTCAAAATGTGAATAGATATGAATGAGTGATGTGCGGCCCGATATGCAACTGCCTGATAAGGTTTAATAACTGTTCACACAAATTCACTGATAAAATATTGATGATGTAACTCTCAAAACCCATCTACTAA